TCCATGAAACAAACTAAAAAAGTGTGCATATAATGTATTTAGAGACATCACACAAAAAATGAGAAGACATTAAAAAATAGTTTATTTCAAATTCCAGAGGCTGATTAAAGAACAAAAATTAGTAGGAAACTTTAGAGATCCCTTCTGAGAAAAGAGGACAGACTAGAACTCATGTGCACCCATAAACCACAAAGAGACTCATAAACAGGAGGAGAGCTGTTTGCAAAACTGCAAAATCAGTATCATAAATAACATCTCAAAGAAGTACTTTGATGAGCTCAATAATGAACTGAATTTGTGATGTTATTTATTAACAAAGGTGAAAATATTCTAATCAAGGTATACAATGCCAGTTTAGAGCTTAGTAGAAAAATGTAAAATAACTAAATTGGAATTATTAACTTTAGATTTTTAAACAGTGCTACAAACTATTCAGTTTTCAGTCATACTTCTAAAAGCCAAAGCAGAGTTAATCCAGGATGAATTAGATCAGTCAAGCACTATTAACTACATAGTACTAAATCCAGGAACTGCTAATGAATCGGGTATTAAACAGAAGAAGGAATGTAACCTCCACTCTGGCTGACTGCTCACACACAAGTCAATAGAATAAAATGATCCATTCTATTTAATCCATCATAAGTTTATTTGGCAGCCACTATTTGTGAAGTACTAAAGTAGTTCTTGGTCAGGCAAAGGGGAAGAAAAAAAGGAGCAACTGCTGTCCTTGAAGAGCTATACCCTTATCTTTGAAACATTGATTTAGTGTAGTAAAAAAAGACAAATAAAAAAGATCATTGTAATATAACATTAAAGTTACGTAGCTTTGTGAGATCAGAATTTCCCTCTGAAAAGGATCTAGGTTGAGGCATGAAAAGTAGGAAAGAGATGGAAAATTTTAAGCAGGGTATAAACCAAAACCCAAATCCACAGCCACTGAGTTGATTCTGAGCCATAGCAACCACATGTAGTTTCCAAAGCTGTAAATCTGAGTGAGCCCAGAGCCACAATCCCCCCACTGAGCAGCTGGTGGGTTAAACCACCAACCTTAGAAGTCCGATGCTTATCGCAGGAGCAGGAACAAAAATGGTTCCTACCTTTGAACCTTTAATCTCACTCGTCTCTGTTACCTTATTGCTCAAAATTATTACTGTGAATGTCTTGTCCTCATTTTGTCTATTTAGCAATCCATGATTTAAAAATTTTATTCAGGATTTAGGTGAAAGTTTACAGAGTTGATCATCAGTTTTATATTCAAACATTTGTACACATTTTATTACAACTCATTCATTTTAATGCCCTCAATATACCATTGCTTCTCTCATTTCTTCCCACTGTTTCTTGTTTC